TGCCCAACTGCCCACCACCACCTGGGTGACCATTATACCCTGCTCTCAGGGCATCAATGCTAGATCCAGCACAAGTGCCTCTTGGCAGAAAAGTATAACCCACAGCAAGAGCAAGCCCAGGGAATGGGGTGTGTGTGTTATCAGGCCAGTCAGACCCCTGCCCCCAGGCCTTCCAGCAGGTGGGAGGCAGGCCCCATACAGATATAACACCTTCCCTGGGGCCTAGCCGAGTGCCCTGCTCAAATGTAGACAGAAAACACAAGTTGGGCTGTGATTCCTCCAGACCCCAGGCTCAGGAACAGGATGACTTTGGCACAATACCTTGGGGCCACATGAGACCCCAGTGCCTAGCTAAGGATACTCAGTGGTTAGCTGTCAAAATGGAGCCCTTGGGGGCTGGGCCTAAAGACTATCTACCCTTGGAAGCAGGGACATGCTGGCACCTCCAGGTTAGGTGAAGGACTCCATCTTTCTTTCTGCCAGGTTTAGACAGGTTAGAAGTCCCATCCTTGGGCCCAGTCCCTGGTCCTCAGCTCCAAGAGAAATAAAGGCAAAAAGAAAGGACAGGGGAACAGCCAAGTTCTTTGACATCTAGGCAATGGCTGTGTGACATGGCTGCCCTCTGACCTGTGTGCTCCAGCCAGGACCTCCCCTTCCCTATCCCCCTAGGGAGACAGAATAAAGGGTTGAGGGAGCCATGGTGACCTTGAACGGAGGCCCCAGCCATTGTGAGAAGCTGCCTGAGGACAAGTACTGAGAGGCACAGATGGATAAGGGAGCACTGGTGCCCAGTAGGGCACCTACACCTCCGTCCTGTGTCCTAGTCCCCACCACCATCCTGAGGGCAGTCCCTGGAGGGGTGACAGAGCAAAACTGCCCCTCCAGTACTCCCCAACCCCCGCCCCACCGCCAAGTCAATGCACACACATAAAAGAGAAAATCCCGGTGCTCCTCAAATTTCAGCGGTGACAGGTTAAAAGCAAAAGAATCCACCCCGCACCGCACACCGCCCTGCCGCTGGGTCCTGCCGGCGAAGTCGCTCCACCTTCCAGATTGGCCTGTCAGTCAGGCTTTCGCCTTATTGAAAGATCAAACTCTGTCCTGCCTGTTCATTACCTTAATCCTATTTTCTACATGGCTTTATTATCTGCTCGGGCTTCTCTGGGAAAGACAGCTACAGACAGTCGTCCTGTCCATCTGCTTCCTCCCACCAAAAGCGGATGCCTCCACCAGGCCATCTCTCCCTCCATCCCTGCAGCGCTCAGCCCTCCGAGCTCCCCTGGGGACAAGAGTGCTGTTTAAACAAGGCCTGGCTCCTCTCAGTGGTGAGCAGGGGAGGCTGGGGGCTAGAGAGAAGGCAATGCCAAGTGCCTCCCAGGGCAGCCCTGCCACAGGCTGGCCAGAGGGTCCAGTGGCTGTTTCGTATCTGGCTCCAGTGAGAATCGAGGCTATAGTTGTCTTGTGCCTATTCTCACTCAGGTTCTTTCTGGGTTCTATAAAAACCCAGTGTTTGGAGTTAGTGAGGTCTCGGGATTTCATAAGAGAATGCTGTTCAAGGAGCTGGTGCCTTAGAACTCTGCCCTGGTCATAAACCTGTGCCCGGGCATACCGCCCACCAAGGCAGCCACAGGCAAAAGAGGCCACTCAATTACTCAGTCTTCGAGATAAAGAGGAGCCACGGGGGTGTACCCACCCCATCCCCTGGCTTGTCCACCATCCTGGGCCCAGGCCACTGATGATGCCCGGGACAAGATCCAGCTACATGACTAAATACAACTGACTTTCAGCAGAAATACCCATCTTTGTGGACTACGGCCTACTGTCAAGAGCCCTGTCCGTGCCATGAGGTCAGCAGGTTCACCTTCCCCTCCACTGGTCACGGGGTCACAAATATTTGGAGGATTAAAAGGCGGAGCCTCTACAAACTCCAGGTGCCAATGTGGAAGACAGCTGTGGATGGGGAGAAGAGAGTGAAGGAGGCAGCTCACACTGGTTGACTGCCCCTAAGGTGACAGGCACTGTGTGGGTACTTCCACAAAATCTTTTTTTTTCATACGGTTTCTGTTAGGGATCACTAAATCCCATTTACAAATGTAGAAAACTCAGGCCCAAAGAGGCCCCCAGATCATAACAGTACTAAGCAGCAGAGTCAGTTCTGGAAGCCGGGCCTCTGACCACACAGCCCGTGCTCCCCCTGTATCTCCTCAGCCTCCCTGTCACACACCAGAGGGGCTCCTTTGGCCCCAGCCCCATTCGGAAGCAAGACATTGCCAGTAGCAGGGGTTTGGTAGGGTGAGCCATGGGAATAATTTTCAGACTGCAGGAGCTCCATATCCCAGGGGCTACAGAACAAAGGAGCCCTTGGAAGTTTTAGCTATGCTGGCAACACTGTGATGCAGTCGGCTACAGTAACAAAAGTAGGAGACCTGGAGTAAGGGAGGTGAAGCAGCTGCCACTCATCAGCCCACACCTGCTACTTCAGTACTCAGTTGTGAATACCCCATTTCAAAAGGGATCAAACCAGATAAATCAGAGAAACTTTCAGGTGAGCATGGTCCTGAAACCAGTGTGAGACCAACACTGTAGGTCACCGATCCCACTATTTCTTGCTGACCAAACCCTGATTCTGTGCCTACCTCTCCCTTCCCCCACGGCCAGTGTGCATGGCGGGAAGCTGAGCTCTTCCCCAGGCCCACAAGCTGCATCTTGATTGGTCATTCCATTTCTTTCGCCAGTGTTTGGTTTAGGGTGAGTACTGAAATATACTTTGGCTCACGAAATATAAGGAGAAGACTGCTTGGGGGCTCCTAGGAAGGGCTTCCTCATCTTAAAAAGAGGCCGCAGGCAGGGACACATCCTCTTCCTTCTTCCCTTTGGGTATTACCTTATGAGTTGGTAGAGATTTTGTGAACAAGCCTGTGGGCAAGGGCAAAAGCCACCTTGACTGGGGTGGCAAAGCAGGAAGCTGAGGAGAAAATGGGCCTTCATGGTCTCATTGCGCTACGGAACCCATCAATCCTGGAACCAGGCAACCATCCAACTCCTGGACTCTCTGTCATTTAAGACAATAATAATCCCTTTATTGTTTGAGGCACCTTGAATTAGGTCTTCATTACTTACAGCCAAAAGCTCCTTAACTGATCTACTATGTTGATGAGCAACAATTGAAGAGCCTCGGACTTTTGGCCTGGAGAGGATAAGACCCTGGAAGAGCAGAGCCAAAGTTTTCTGAAATTTAAAGGTCTGTCGTCACAGGATCCTTGTCAGGATCACAGCTCCAGGAAGCAGATTAGCCCTTGATGAAGGGCAGGCATTCTAACTCAGAGTTACCCAAAGGTCTAACGTGGTGTTTGGTGAAGCTGCAAGTTTCCTATCCCTGGACTTGGATGATTATCAAGAGAATGTGTAGAGAAAAGCATATTTAATTAAGATATCTCATGGGTTATAAAAAAAAGTATTTTGGAAAGACTGACAACACAATGGATTTTTCAGAAAAAAATATACGGCTAGTACTTTCCTGGGGAAATGAAAAGGAGAAAACAAGCTAGAGCAACTGGGCAGGAGAAAGGCCAGATGAGCACACCCTCATCGCTACTGTAAACTGGATCATTGAAAACCAGAATGCAGGTGCCTAGGGTGAGGCGAAGAGTTCTCAGACTTGATTAACAAAGAAAAGTGACAATACCAAATGCAGTTGAAGATGTGAAGAAACTAGATCTTTCATACATTGGGGTCAGAATATAAAACGGTAAAGCTACTCAATAGTTTGGCAGGTAAAAAACCTAAACATACGCTTACCAAATGACCTAGCAATTGTACTCCTGGGCATTAATCCCAGAGAAGTGAAAACATACGTACGTCCACACGAAAGCCTACACACAAATGTGCAGTACATCTTTATGTGCAACAGTCAAAAAATTAAAAACAACCCAAATGTCCTCCAGTGGGTGAATTCTGTTCAATGAGAAAAGAAACTCTGGTACATCTATGCCAGGGAATGTACTACTGAGCAATAAAAAAGTAAAGCTCTATTGATACATGTGACAACTTCTATGGGTCTTAAGAGAATTATGCTAAGTTAAAACAGGGGTGGAAGGGGAAGGAAATTTCAAAAGGCTACATACTATATTATTTTATTTATATAATACTTTCAAAATGACAAAATTATAGAGATGGAGAACACTTAAGTGGTTGCCAAGGGTTAGGGGAGGAGGAGAGGGGGATGGGTGCAACTATAAAGGCTACATGAGGGACTTTTGTGCTGATAGAACAAAGAGTTCTATGTTTTGATTATGGTAGTGGTTACCTGAATCTACACACAGGAGAAAATTGCAAGGAACTACACACACACACACACACACAAGTGCAATCTGAATAAAGGTCTATGGACCGTACCAATGTCAATTTCCCGGTTTTGATATTATATTACGTAAGATGTTACACAGGTACCTTGCTGTCCTATTTTTGTAACTTCCTGTGAATCTATAGTTATTTAGAAATAAAAAGTTTAAAAAAATACAGAATAGAATGGCAGATAATCAGATGGGTCAGTGTCAAGCCAGCTAAGGCAGAGAATTGTGAGCAAAACCTGGATGGATTTTAACTGTTCTGTATCATTCTTTCTATTGATACGTAGGCCACTTCCAAATTTTCTTTATTTTAGAAAAACCATCTCTGAGGATAGATGAGATCTTATGCAGCCACAGAGTCAGGCATTCCTCAGAGAAAAAGGATCATACATCCAAACTGGTGTTGTTATAAATTTTACATGCAATTATTTACCTATGATAAATTACTTCAACAGTCTCCTCAAGCTAACGGGACAATTCCATGTGAGGCTTCCAGAGCAGAGGCTGTCAGTGGGTTGCAGGGCAGGGGCTGCCCTGGCCCACCGGGTGGCCACCTGAAGCAGGGGCTGGCTCAGCCAGCTCTCTTCACTGCTCCCGAGCAGCTCCAGCCCCACCCCCACTGTAAGCCATGGAGACTCAGGAATTTCTTACCTGTTGAGGTCCCAGATTCTTAGGGGTGAGAAGTGCCCACAACAAGCCGTCCCTGTCACAAAAGAGCTGCCAAACAAAAGGAGAGCAGAGTCAGATCTGGCTTGTCAGAACTTGTGGCGGAAATGGCTACACAATTGGAGGTGCGTACTCATTCTCCAGGGGGTTCTGGGGTTAAGCCAGGATGAGAGAAGCAGCCAAGAGAGCCATCAGAGGAGTCGGGAAGACCACGGGAAGCATGGTGAGGGCTGGAGCCTCCCCTAGCTGCCTGGTCAGAGGAGCCACAGGTTCAACAACAGCTGAGCTGGCCACTCCGACCCAGCTGTGTGGTCTCTGTCCATCATGAAAACCGCTCTCTAGGTGCGCAACTCTGAGGCCAAGGGAGCGCAAGCCTGGCAGGCTTCAGCTTTACGAAGTTCCCGAAGCCATGGCACAGAAATGGTCTCCTGGGAATAGGCTGTTGGGTGCTGGGAGGTGACGCCTGGTCAAGCTGCGGGTGGCTGGGGGGCATTCCTGAAGGTTCTAAGAGCTCAGGGAACCTGGTAACATGGTACAAGCACAGGGCAGGTGCAAAGACACCGGACTGAGAAACAGAAAACTATGAAAGGAGAGTAACGATACGAAAAGGTAAGATGGGTGAAATGTTAGTATATGAGTGGGAGAGTAGAGAATGTCGGGCGAGGCAGCCAGGGCTGCTGTGGAGTGGGACGGCAGTCAGGCAGAGTTTCGAGGACAATGACAGACACTACCAAGAGGCAGGTGGGAAGGAACACTCTGGCCATATTTCCCAGCGTGTCTCTTAAACCCCTAAAAAGTTCAACATATAGAATCTGCAGAGTTTCGTTTCAAGTGCAGGCTTAAGCCCAGTGAGAAGGATCCAAGCAATGAGCCAGGTTGGCTGCAGTGCTAGGACTAGAACTTGAACCTATGCGCTCCTTTGTTAGAGGATTTGGCAGGGGTGGGGAGGGGAAGCCAGCAGGAACCCAGGGCTTGAAAACCTAAACTGCTAGCAAGAGAGTTGAAAGCAGTTGTGTCACTCAGGAGCCCTGGGGCAGGGAAGGGCCAAGTCCCTACATGTCGGGTGTGGGGGAGGGGGACTGGACATACTAATGACACGTTAGCAATGTGAGGCAGCGACCCATCCGCCCTGGCCCTGCCCAGCACCTGTGGCTCTCTGATCCCAAGCATGTCAGTGGGGAGATGGATTTCTGTAGAGAGGGCTCTGAAGCAGCCAGTGGCTTTGGCTGGGGGGAAGCTGGTCTGCCAGTTACTGATGGGGGAGATGTTAGGGCAGGCATTGCCCAAGCCATTGATTTACAATCAAAATTGCAGGGCAGGTGTCTGTTTTTCAACCCCCAGGCTGACAAAATGGCCATGTGAGCTACCCTGGGGCTCCCATGCCTCAAGCCAAAACTTCCTCTAGGGGCCTGCTCCATCATGCCAGCTTCCTCTCAACCCGCAGGAGTGCCAGCAGCCACTAAACTAGAGTGATGTGCCAAAAGAGCCACTCCGTCATGCCCCAAGTGACTCCCAGCCTGGGAAGCGGCTGCTGGACAATGAAGCCCCAAACTACAAAGCCAGAAGGTATTGTCCTCACCTCCCTCCCCCTGACATTTTTTTCTTGAGGGTAATCCATTAATAACTGGTAAAGCCAATTACCTTGGGTTGGAAACATAATAGCCACTTGGAAATCATTCGAGCGGGCAATTGGGCTCTCCAGACTTTTGAGGAGTCGGGGCCAGGTGAGGGGCGCCAGCACAGACATCTCTTAAGGAAGCCTGTGGCAGGCCTTTGACTGGCCACAGGCCTAAATTAGCGTCAAGTAAGTCAATAGAGAAAGAGATGGGAGGCACCTGGAACCTGAATCCCTGCCACTCCCACAGCTCTGACCTCCCAGCAGGTTGGGGTAGGGATGAGAACACCTTCCCCTGGGCCTCCTGTCCTCTCCTCCTGCCCACCAGCCCAGCCTGGCCCTGTCCGTCTGCCACCAGGAGGAGGCTTCTCACCTTCATACCCCACGAAGGCCTTTCTTAATTCACTGGACATGACATTCATGAGTGTTTCTTTCCACAAGCTGTCCTTTTCCCTTGCTTTACCATATAAAGCAGGGAGGAAGAGAAGGAGGGAAAGAATATAGAGTCCTCCTGGCACTTATGAGGACCTAAGAGTTTAATCAATTTTAACACTCAGTAAAAAACCATGTAAGCAACAGTCAAGCAGATTTGAAGCCAGGTCACTCTGGGAACACTCACCAGGACTCACACCCAAACCAGGGGGACTGCCCAGGGACAGGGACGGCAAGCCTGTATTCAACAGGCACAGGTAGAACCTGCTGGCTCCCCAGGTGCCTTGACCATCCTCCCTCTGAGTCCCTACCACACTTTGATCTCACCTTCATGGGACAAATTGTATTTGGGGGGTTATCTTCCCATCTTCCCTTTGAATCATGGACCATCTGGTGGCTCTTACGTACTCCAGTGTCCAACAGAGTGCCTGGCCCAGAAGAGGCCCTAGCTCAGGCAAACCTGGCATCACAGAGATCACCATTAGGCCCAAGCAGTAGATGCAGGAGCCCTCACATCAGACACAGACACCAGGAGTACTAGACGTTCTGGTACTCATGTTGAGGGATAGAAAATAAGATACAGAAGAGAGGAGAGGAAAGTAAGAAGGGAAATTAGCTGGGTGTGGGCAGGGTGAAAGCAGGTAGATTATGCTGCCTCTGCCTGTTTTAGGCCCTCTTAATTACACAAGTAATTTATTGAGCACTTACTACAGGCCAGATTCTGAGCAAGTATTTCAAAAACATTATCCCATCTAATCCTTATAACCCTATGCAGTAGGTACTACTTTCCCTATTTTACCGACGAGGAGACCGAGGCAGAGAGGTAATGTAACTTGCTCTAGCTCACACAGAGACCAACTAGGAGGACTGGGATTTGAACCCAGTCAGTCTTTATTCCAGAGCCCAAGTGATTTTATACCCCTTTAAGTTCTCTCTTCAGCCCCTAGAATAATACCTGACACATATTAAAAACTCAAATGCTTGTTGAATGAATGAATGAATGGACAAATGAACAAATGACTCCACCTGGAAGAAGAGAGCAGAGCCAGAGTGGCTCTGAGGAGGGGCAGCAGAAGTGGCGTGCTCAGCAGCTGTGCCCGTGGCTGGCCCGGAGCCGCCCAGCTGGCCCAGGCCCCAGCCGCCTCTGAGCTGGGGCTGACACACTTTGGCAAGGGAGGCCACCAGAGCTGTCACATCATTCACCAACATGCCCATCAAGTGTATTCAGTTCTCTTCAACCCGCACTGGCATTTTAATTACTGTTGGGTAAACTAATTTGTACAAATGAAGGCTGGGCTGCCTAATAGAATATGCAAGCTCTCTGACCTCTGACAGGCACTGACACGAGATACAAAGGCCGCCGAGGAAGGCTTTTTATCTGAGCCTTATTACTCTCTATTACTCCAATTAGTCAGGCTCCAGTGCTCCTAATTGGAGGAAAAATTGCAATTAAATCAATTTTTGATGGGCTGCAAGTGGGCTCCTGAACCGCCCCGCTTGTGAAACACTGATATTATAGCAGCAAAGGTCACAGGCCTCATCGGCACCCGGGCCCCCCAATTTCCCTTGCCCCCCCACCCAAAATGCTTCAAGGAAATACCTGCCCATCTATCGGCTAGGCCAGCAAGGGTGAGAAGGAGGGAGTCATTAGAACATGTCAGGTTTCATTGCTGTTGCCACCATCTGCTAACCTGCGCCACTGACATCATTACGGCACTAAGTCCCAAAGCATGAATGTAGAGCGAAGGTCACACACACTCACTCAGCCAGGGGAAGCCAGAGCAGTAGTGCAATGACAGCACTGGGAGGGAGGGACCAGTGGAGTGGGAACAGAAAGTCAACAGAAGTCACGAAGAGGAGAGACAGGGCAGGGCAGGTGAAAAGTGTGAGGTGGCCAGTTCCCAAGATCCAGCCAACAGGGCACCCTGGGCCACTCAAAGGGAAGGGAAATAGATGTGCCTACGAAGGTAAAAAGAGAGGGAGGCAAAGAAACCTTGTTCTCACCAGCAGACATCTCGCCTTGCAGCTGGGGAAACATCCACCTGAATGCTGTACACAGACCAGAAGGCTGAGTCGCATCAGTGATGGGGACAGGAGCAGACTTGGAGAGATCTGCCTTCCATGTTAGTGCCTATTAGGGGGTGGGGGCCCCAAACTAAAGCTGTAAGATCAGGGAGAGGAAGGTAAACACAATTTGTTCAACAAGCTAAAGGATAATAAGACCTATTTTATTTTTTTTAACAACAAAGGAGGCAAGAATATGCAATGGGGAAAGAACAGTCTCTTACCTTTAATAAATGGTCTTGGGAAAACTGGACAAGCACATGCAAAAGAATGTAACTAGACTATTATCTTACACCATACACAAAAATTAACTCACAATGGATTAAAGACCTGAATGTAAAACCCAAAACCATAAAACTCCTAGAAGGAAACATAGGTGGTAAGCTCAACATTGGTCTTGGCAATGATTTTTTTGGATCTGACTCCAAAAGCAAAGGCAAGAAAAGAAAAAATAAACAAGTGAGACTACATTAAACTAAAAAGTTCTGTACAGTTAAGAAAATCACTGACAAAATGAAAAGGCAACCCACTAAATGGGAAAACTATTTGCAAATCATATATCTGATAAGGGGTTAATATCCAGAATATACAAAGAACTCATACAACTCAACAGCAAAAACAAACAAACAAACAAAACCCCAAACAATCTGATTTAAAAATGGGCAGAGGGCCTGAATAGACAGTTTTCGAAAGAAGACGTACAGATGGCCAACAGGCACTGAGAAGATGCTCAACATCATTAATCACTAGAGAGCTGCAAATCAAAACCTCAATGAGATATCATCTTACAACTGTTAGAATGGCTATATAGTATCGAAAATACAAGAAATAACAGGTGTTGGCAAGGATGTGGAGAAAAGGGAACCCTCATACACAGTTGGTGGGAATGTAAATTGGTGTAGTCACTATGGAAAACAGTATGGAAGTTCCTGAAAAAGTT